TTTAGGATGTGATGTGTATGTTAAACTTAAGCCTGTATATGTAAATGATTCAATCATACACATTCCTTCTTTGAACAGAACAATTCAAATGCATCACAGAAAACTGGGTACAAGTTAGTAATACATGCTTATGATGAGGGTAAAAAAAGCAACCCTGTCCTGAGTTTAAATAATGCTAGGATTACAAAAATACAGGGTTTAGATTAGTTTATTTTTGGTGAGACTGAGGAGAAGCTTTGGCGTTCGAACTGACAGATTGGGAAAGCAAAGATTTATTTGAATAGCCCCCCGTGTGATAGTGTGTAGGGGTGCATTGTAAACAAAGTTGAATGAGGGCCGACACCGTCACGTAAGCTTCGATTTCATGTGCCTGTTTTTTGTTCAGCAGCGACAAGCAAGTCTGGAAACCATTTACATGAAACTGCAGAAGAGAAAATGTACATGGGGTTGTTTTTAACGACTCCCCCGTGCTAAATTTGGAGATGAAATGAGGTGGAAGGAATACTAAAGATAGCGGAAAAAAAACAGTCGACGATGCCAAGTTTGTGTGTCTGTATTTGTGTGGGGTCGTTTTTCGTCCCCACACTTCTGGGAATGAAACTGACCTTGGAGAAAGAGAAAGTGAGAGATTGAAAGAAAATGCAAAGAAAGCAGGAGGCGAGTGAAGGAGAGGGAGAGTGACAGGCAAGGAGGGGGTGAGATCATAGTCACACTCCACCTTGTTCCAATTACAATATCCTGTGTTTAGAGTGTGTGAATGTTCTTTGTGTGCATCTCACTGGCTGCATATGTATAAGTGGGCCTTTGCAGGGGATTTGGACAGCATGTTCGCCCGCTGAATTATGCATTGCTGATTTCTTTCCCCCCTAAGTTTCAGATTGTACTTTTCAGTGCTAAAGACTATTTTCCTGCTGCAGAAGTTGGGTTTTAATGAGATATTTTGCAGCAGATATGCAACAAACCCATTTATTTTTAAAGGTTGTCTTTTTTTTTATTAAGGCAATTCACAATGAGACTACAGAACAAAATGTTAGTTATGCCAATTTAATCAAAAGGCTGTGCAAGATCACTTAAATGTAAATACTATCAAAGTGCTGCCACACAAAAAAAACTGTTAAAGGCTTTTAAAAAGACTGAAGAACTGTAGTGATTTTAAGGAAAATTGGTTCATTGAAGCAAAAAGAAAGGGTATATAACTAAGTTTTTTATCCATCAGTTTGATGCTGTATCCAAGCAACTATTTACTACATCTAAACACATTAAGAGATTGGTATTGTGCTCAGACTTTCTTTGGCTTCAATTGGCAATATCTTCACTGATTTCCCTCTGATCTACCTCCACCAATGAGAGTAAGCTTTTATTGATGTCCTTGGTTCCTATGAGAACCCACAAATATACAGTTTTAAGAGTGTCCATTTAAAATATGTAACATAAAGACAGAACTAAATAATTCTGCTGTTTCTCTTGATAGTTTTAAACAGCATCATTTTTGATGTGAATGACACCAGAGATAAGTCCCATCTCGTACCACCACCCCAACAATTAAAGGCATTCCCACAGAAATACTGCTTATCATGTTCACTGCTTCCAAGCTTTAACAAAAACAAAAAATGCTATTAATTATATAGCAATATAAGAAAAATTGATTCTGTTAAATATCCCCATATTTCATTGGACAATATTGGTATTGATTCAAAGTACAGTAAACGTGCAAACATACAATTTATTGTCCTACTTTTTTATAACACTTAAACATCCATCCACTAGATGACAGTGTGTTGAGAAGAGCCTATTATTCATCTACTCTGCACTGTCCTCAGCAGAGCAACATTGAGATCAAAGTTGAGATATGTCATTTTTAAAATATATTATCTTTGTTACTGTATCAGCAAATATCAGGATGAATTTTATTGTGATGCATGTGTTATGATATGCACTGTACGACCCAATTCTTGCCAGTTTCCATCCCTATTATTTAGATTTTTATATGATCTTAGAGAAAACTAAGAATCCTCCTTCATAATAAAACTGTACTTTAAGACATATTCACTCTTGGATAGTTTAATCCAAGTTTTGCCATTCAATATATTGTGTTAGAGTTGGATGCATTCATCCTGCCAGTCTTTTATGGGGACAAGTCCAGAGACTGTTTAAAGTGAGAAAAGTGTCACACCTATGCTGGAGCAGTTAACGTTCACTCAGAGATTATTGGACCAGATCGCCATGCACTTACACAGATTTCACAGAAGTATGGTTTCAAAAAAGAAGAATTTAAAGCACAAAAAAGGAAGTTCTTCCTGCAGCTTCTAGCTATTCCATGTAATACTTAACTAAGTAGTTCTTAGATTTGAGCTCTTAATTTGTTGTTCCTTGTTTTCTTTTCCTTAAATGTTTTGCCCTTACATCAGATAATCTCTTCTTTTAATACGGGAAGAAAAACACAAAAGGGTTTGGATTAACCAGCTGAGACCAGCATTTCTAAATGTGACAGAGTACAGATCCAGGGTCCTGGATTAGATTCAACCAGACTTTAGTGGGAAAGCCTCAACTTAAAAAACATAAATGCCTTATATGTCCTCTCAAAAACAGTATAAAGGTTTTAACAATCTTTGTTCAATGAACAAATCAGATATGCTCTAGGCATCTAATGACATAGAAGAAACTAGATTCCAAGTCTAACTGTCTTGAAACCAGTAATTGTTGGGTAACAGCTTTTCATCCTTCAAATCCTAAAGAAACTGAGAGAGAAGCTGCAAAACTTGGAGTCGAGCCAGAAAATAAGTCAAAGGTGTTTTTGAATTGAAAAGAAAAACACAAATTTCCACCCATTTTGTAAGGAGGATCATTTAGTTATGACATTTAGAGTTGCACCCCCCCACCCCCACCCCTCCACCTATCTATCTCTAAAAATCAAATGAGGAGGTAACTGGGGAGACTCAATCACAATGAGTCACCGGGTCCAGATGGTGTTGGCTCGAGTGGTGCAGGCCTGTCCAGAGCAGCTCATGTGAGATGCTTCTCCCTGCAATCTGCTGGTTTTCCCCAGGAAACTTTTGACCAATCGGACAGCAGGATCTGATATATTTCTCTGTAAAGGGCCTTGAGATGACATGCGTTGGGAATTGGTAATGTATAATTTAATTGAATTGAAAAAATAAATAAATGAATACAACACCTCTTTTAACCTTAGCTTGACCCAGAAGGTGGGGTTCTGGATGCAGTATTAACATCATAGGAGAGTGGAAGAGTATTAATACTTTGGTGTTTACACCAACAATAAATTTAACTGGAGACACAACTGTGAAACTGTCTACAAGAAGGGACAGAGCAGACTGTACTTTCTAAGGAATCTTAGGTCCTTCAGGGTTTGCAGCAATATGCTACATATCTTCTATAAGTCTGTTGTGGAGAGTGTATCTGAGAGTTAATCTGCTGGGGTAACAGTATCAGAGCAAATGACTTATAAAAGCTCAACAAGCTGATAAAGCAGGGCGGCTCTATTCTAGGAACTCCTCTAGGACCTCTGGAGATTATTTCACAAAGATAATACCTCACAAAGTAAAGAACTTTATGGGAAACAGTGAGCATCTTCATAGGACTTTTAAACACCATCATGTTGTCTTCAGTCAAAGATTTCTCCAGATCGGGTGTCAAAGTGGTTCCAAGAAAGGGCCGTGGGGCTGCAGGTTTTCTTTCCAACCAAGCAATAGCACACCAAACTCCAGTCATCATGTTCAGATTGGACTCACTTGATGAGATGACTGGAGTCTGGTTTGCTATTGCTTGGTTGAAAAAGAAAACCTGCAAGCGCACGGCCCTTTCTGGAACCACTTTGACACTCCTGCTATAGAAGATCCTTCCTGCCTTCAGCTATCAAATTTCTACAACAACTCGTTTGAAAAAGACTGGCTTGTAAAAATGACTTACCGTTGACTCAAAAAGATTTATTTTGTATACACAAGTGTAAACAAAAAGAAAATGACAATTTCATTTTTTTTTTAAAGCAGATGACTGACTGCAATATTTAATTTCCCTTTGGGATTGATAAAATGTTTATAAATTGAATTTAAATTGAATTTTTGAAAAAAGAAAAAAAAAAGAATATCCAAAAAGTAAAATGGCAAAGTCCAGATGTAAATCCAATAGAGAATCTACAACAACAAATTCAAATTTCAGGTTTACGGACATTCGCGACTAAATTAACTCAAATTCAGTCAGACTGAATGGAAAGCAGTATCAGTCAAATGAAGTCCAAAGATATAGTGCATGTCCAAAGCTTTCAGAGATGTATCTGTGGCAGACTTGCATCTGCACAACGAAAGATGAAACTACGTTGCACATACTCATGGTACCTACAAATGCACAGCAACATGCAAAAACGTAGACTTTCCTTCCACTGCCTAATTATGTGCTACCGAACTATTCAAAATCCCAATAAACTACATTAAGGCTGGCGCTTTGAAGGTGAAAAGATGTGTAAGACTGCTGCAAAGCTGTCAGTATTAATCATCAAAAGATTACATTATTGAAAAAGTAAAGATGTATAGAAGAAAGCCAAGCTCATAATCAGTGTTTTATTTTTTAAAGGATGAAGGAGAGGACTTCTCAGTCCGAGATGAGGAACATTTCCTCTTCCTGGGAATTCCATCTGTTTAAAAGCGGCTTCTTCTCCCCTTTCCCTCTGCAAATGAATCCATTTCTGCTTCTCTGCTGGCTTACATTAAACACATGCCCTCTTCAAAGTGGTGTGTCTGTACACATCCCTCCCCCCAAAAATACACACATTCTACACACAAGCATGTAAAGTCATTTGAGGCAGAGAACATGAGCCGTATCCGAGGCCACATTTTTACCCCCAGCTCTTTGTTTCACTAAAAAACTCAGAGTCTGTGCTTTGAAACCCCACAACCTCTGTGTGAATCAGAACAGCAACCTTTCCAGGAACAGTGTGGCTTTATGCTTTTGCTGATAAAGAAAACTTCTCAGTGACGTCCATTTACCTTGTCTGAAGCTGGAGTCGAAGGGCCGGGTTCCGTCCAGTTCCAGGCCGTTGGTAATTGGCTGCATGCTCAGGTCGATCACCTGGTGGAGCCGAAGTTTCCGACAGTAGATGGAGGCGGCCTCGGGCTCCAGGGCGATGAGGAGCTGCTCAGGACATTCAGGAGACACCAGCCCAGCCTGGAGAACACACAAACAACGTGTAACGACAGCAGTGAGAGAAAACCAGAGCATGCAGAGATAAAGTAGGTTACTTTACATCACACCTTGTCATGTGTTTACTTGAGGAATCTAAAACACAATGTATTTAATCGAAGAAGACTTGAAAACAAGATAGAATGGTAGGAGAATAAGAAGTAAGCAATGGGGCATTTTTCATGTGTTACAAATACTGTGATCGGCCCTGCTCTTTATAGAATGATTCACAGTGGACGCTGCCTGTTTAGGAAACTGAGTCTGGAGCACAGGGGGTGCACTTGAAGACTTTTTTTATATCTTAATTACCACCAAGCACAGAGGTTAAATTTGCTTATCAGGAAGGCCAGCTCTGTTATAGGATGCCCAAACAACCCTGTGCAGGTGGAGGGAGACAAACGGACTCTTGGGAAAAAAAAAAAAAAAAAATTTAATTGTTGGACAATGTGTTTAAAAAAAAAAAAAAAAATTTAATTGTTGGACAATGTGTTTCAGAAGTGGAAATTTCCTTCAATGAAAGACTACTGTGCCTTGGGTCCACTAAGGAGTGTTATCACAGATCTTTCCTACCAGCAGCTGTTTATAATCACCACAGCACCCAACAAACTCAATAGGCTGTTTATACATCTGCAATTGATTGCAGTGTTTTCAGTTTTTCTTGTAAACAGTCTGTTGTTAATTTTTATACACAATTGTTAAATGAACAGTTTGAACATTTTCCCAATACATCCAAGTTTACATTTGCACATTTCATTTGATCAGAGTTTGGAGTTTTTAATGCTCAATTTTTTGACCTGTTTTAAAATTTTGTTGTAAGTGCTTTATAACTGTACACTATATTTTTTCTGTTGTAAACTTTACGCTTGCCCCTAAAACTACCGGTACCTAAATTTCCCCACTGTGGAACAAAAAGTGAATTATTATTCTATTATATTAATAAAAAAAAAAAATCCATGATTAAAAAAGACAAAAAAACGTGGTAAGTGGTACGAATATCCAAGCAAAACATCCATCCATCTATCAATACATCCATCTGCCCATTGCCCACTTATCCTTGCTTGGTCACTGGTGGTCATCTTTTCTCTGGTGGTCATTGGGGGAGAGATGAGGTGCAAACTGGAGAGGTTTCCACTCCATCACATCACAACACAACAAAAATATACCATGCACTTAGACACATTATACCTAAAGGTCATTTAGAGAGATCCTTTAATGACCAGTTATGTTTTTGAACTAAACTTTACTCTGTACCAAAGAACTCTAGAGGTAAATGTGACTCTGTATGACACTTGAGACTTTTGTAAAAAATGGGTCATAAAAAAGGTAAATATCTCAAAGAGCAGATAAGCTGATACAGAAAAACGCTCCTTCAAATTATTGCTGCTAGAGGAAGTTCTAAAATCTACTAAATGATAGAATGTTCATTGTTTTCCTTTGCCTCTATCTTGCTAGCCTAAATGTCATCATTCTTTATGATAAAATGTTAACAAAACCACACTCTATATGTCACACTGACCTTTGGACAGAAAAGAGACATTTCAGAGGTCAACAGAAATAAGAAAAGAAATCTACAGAAACATCCACACTGATGGCACTTCAACACAGATTTAAAGATGAAATTACTCTAACCTAACCAAAAGTAATGATGATCCATTAGGAGGAAGGATTTCAAACATAAGGAGATTTATATAAGCACTAAATGTGATGTTATGGGGTATAGGGTTAAGTAGGCTATAACAATAAGTTTGTGTCTGTGCAGGGCGGGGGTCTGCTCTCTACTTCCTGTGTTTGTACGCCGGTCTCCCTTATTGTTCGCTCCTAATGACATCACCAGCAGGAAGCGCACACGCCCCGACAGACCTCAACCAGGAGCCAGCACTAACCATGTGTGGGAGAGTGTGTGCGTGTTTTAGACTTTTTATTGACTCACCTGAGACAGTTAGAGGCTAGTGACTCAGAATAATACCAGATTTGGTCTGTTTGTGGAGGTCAGACAAAGAGGTCACAGATTCTAACAGGAAAATGTCTTGATTTTAATGCACCATTAGATACAGACTTGCATGCCATTTTTTTCTTGATGCATTCCTGTGCATGCATGCTCACTTCCTACAAGTCAGTCAAACACGTACACAATAAGTAGGGGCGTGTGTATTCTCATGACATACAAACACAGACAAAGCCAAATGCATGCTGTAATCTGTGTGTGTAAAGGATCCATGATGGGAAAGTTAATCTGTCTATATCCCAGGGTTTCTTTCCATCTGCTCGTTTTTCTTCCTCGTCTGTTTATCTCCCGCACACAAGCTGGGTTTCTTAAAAGGCTAATTAACGGGAAAAATTTCAAGAAAAAACATAAAATAAAAGATATTTTACTCTTAATCTTAATAAAGAAAAAGTAATCCAAGGATTCCAACTGTTCATTTTTAATTAGTTCTGAGGAATGCCATGGAGGAGAACCTTCCTACGCAGAAGCAATATTATCTTTTAATCTGGGGAGGACTTTGGGTTGACATGATGCAAATGTCCTACCAGGTACGCAGCTTCTCTCATAAACTGCTTGGCCGGTTGTCTCCACACAGCTGGGACGGTGATCACCCATCTGATTTCCTCTCCCTCCAGCACTGAAGATGACTGGTCCTTCACCTCCTGAAAAAAGGACTCAGATTCACCACTGAGGACCAGTCGTCTTTCCATCTGTAAACAAACTGACAGACCAAGGCCTTACCTTCAGAGCGTGCTCTCTGAAAAAGCGGAGAGCATGTGCAAACACCTCAATAGCTCTAACTTTTCGACCGTTAACAGCCTCCAGCTCCGTCTCCATTGTGAGGTCCTGTAAGATATGATGGATTGAGTTGGAGAAACCAAAAGCTGATAATGATATTTGAAACTGTAAAAACAGGAAGGTTTTTTCTACATTTTCAATAAACCACTACCTTTGCAAAGTCAAAGTCATACAAATGTCTTTTTAACTTCTAAAAGATTTTGTCATGATCTTGGCACTGATGACCGGCTTAATTACTAACTCCATTCACCTGTCTAACTCTGCCCCATTTCTCATCACTGCTCATCAGATCAACCTGCTCCTGCCTCTATTTAAGGTGCTTGAATCCCCTCATCAGGACCAGATTATTCTTGCTCTCTCTAGCCAATAGTGAGAGTGTTTTTAGAGTTCCTTGGTGTTTCTGATTTCCTGATATTGACCTGTTCTGCCTCTCACCCACTGAGCCTGTCTGTCCCCATCTGAACAGTTTGCCTGAACTGTCTTTGAACTCATGGATTTCTAAGCCTGCTTATTCCTTTTCTGATCTGTTTGCCGGACCTGGCTTCAGGCTCTTGCATGTTCCCTCAGGCTGCAGCATCTGGGACACTATGGGCGGCACCCACCGCATCTTGATGGCAGCCCACCTGCTGGATCCTACCTTGTTCTCTGGCTATGGACTTAAATTGTAGACCAGGTTAGTGACTCGAGTTTATCTTCCTTCATTAGATTTACATGGTCACTAACCTGTGTTTCTTTCTGCAGAGTTTCCAGTGATAGACGCTGTTACTCTGATCCACTGGTTTGAAATAAACACCTTTTGAATAATCCCACTGTCTGTCCTACCTCAAATAATGGGTCCTCCGGTTCTGAATTGTGATAGACTTTGGTTCAAATTGATTTAAAGTACCAAAGACAAAATGCTTCGGACACAAATTAGTTGGACCCCTTCTTTTTTTATTTTTTTTTATTTTACAATAGCACCAAAAACTGCCTCTAAAATTTATTTATTCTTTAATATTTGCTATAAAAATCAACCACAATGAAGAGAAACACAAAAAAAAACAAAAAAAAACAATAATCACCTTCAAAATAGCTCAAGATCAAGTTATATGAATATTTCCATGAGTTCCACAAGGTTATGTCTTAGTGCTCATAGTTTTTTTTTTATTATGTATTTTAATAATCTGGGCCATAATCAAAGTGCAACAATGTTCACTGATTTATTTCCATTCAAAACCAGTTTTATTTTTATTTTAGGTGCCTGCAGTCCTCTTTTGAAAACTTTCAGTCTCAACCATCACAACTTATATCACCATTGAATCTAAGTGAGACTAAGGTCCTGTTACGTAGGGCACTCTGAACTCTCTCTACCACTCTGTGTGTGATTAGTTTTTTAACATCCTATAATTATATTGGCATCACCATAGATGATAATCTCCCATATTGAAAATTATGGAAAAAAAAAAATAAAATTAGGGCATTTTTGTTTGAAACAGAAATTGTTTTACAGATACAATGCCAGGTAAACAACTTGTTTCTGCCACTTTGATGAGTATTTTAGACTATGGAGGTATTATTTTTTAAGTTATTAAGTATTTTACATCTATAGGACGCTGTCTTGCTCTGATTTATTAGAAACAGCAAAAGCCTCTCTCACTGTTGCACATTTTACTTCTTAGTTAAACGGTGCTCTCTATACATTGGTACAAATGTATTTTCACTTTTGTTCCACCATAACTGTCATCTTATATCTGACATGTAAAGCATTACCACCCCCCCCCAAATTTATTACATTTAGTCTGTCCGATCAGACCTACTGCTATATCTTAGCTTTATTGATTTATCACATGCAGTGTTCAATTAGTGCGTACTGAGCAGGACACAGCAGCATTCTCTTTCTCTGATCCGCCTCGAACATTTTTCAGCAGTACCTGAAGTTTTTCCATTTTACCACGTTTCAAAATTTTAATAAAAGGATTAGTAGATTTGTCTGGAGGAACTTGTGTTTGTTTTTGAAATCCCTGCTGGCGTTGTATGGTTTTAACCTTCAAAAGTACATACCGTTCCTGTTTTTTATGTTATTCCCTTTAATGTATTTAATAGCTTTGCTTTATAAATGAGACAGTGAGTCTGAAGAAATTTTCCTATAAATAAAGGATTATTAATGAAGTAATTGATTCTACCAGCTCTTCCAAGAGGGTAAATACCCAGAAAGAGTTACAACAGAAGCCTGTTTATGGCTATAAAAAGTGTTTTGTTGAGGGACCACCTGCAGAGAAACACTCAATCAAGTGTCTTTTGGGATCTATGTTTATATTTTAGTCTGAGAGTTGATTTGATAAAAGGAATCCACATAAATGCTGACTTTTGCATCCAACGGTTACCTAACATCCACCTTCATAATGGGTGTTTGTAAACTTCTGACCAGAACTTTGGGAGCGACTTACACTTGTGCTGTGGATCTTCATCTTGAATTTATCAAAGTAAAGCCAGTGCTGGGCCTCCTCTGGATCCAGGTCATGGTAGAAATCTCGTGCTGCAAACCCAAAACTGTGGAACCGCAAATCAGGTGTGAGCAGCAAACAAGTTGGGCTCTTCTGATTGGCCACTCCGGGGTCACCGCCCTCCCAACGTCTGCACAGAGCAGAGCAAAATTGTCATTTAGAGTTAAAAGGAAGGGAGAATTATAAATAAAGGAGAGTTTAAGCAGATTGTTACTTCATCATGTGTATGGCTTCAGAGTCCTGCGTGAAGCTGAAAGCATAGCCGCTGGAGGTCGTCCCAAAGTCTATGGCGACGACAACAGAGAATGGACAAGCCATCCGGGGTCTGATTTCCACCCTCTGCCAGACAGAGAAACAGCATGTGTTTGGTCTTTATGCAAACATTTGCTGACACACAAGTATAAAAGATTCTGTTCTTTATTTTGGATACTGATGGCCTAGTGTCTTATTTTATGTTTTTACTCCTTATTAATCCAATATATACAGTCACATGGGTTGTACTTTATTTTGGGGCATCAGAGTAAAGCTGATAGAATAGACATATAAATTTAAACTTGTTAATTTTTTTTTATTACATTGTATCTATGTTTTAATGTCCTAATAATTTTACCTGTACTTTACTGTAAGGTACTTGTCTGAGAAAGGTGCTATATAAATGAAATGTAATTTCTTTCCTTGCTTGTAAACAACAACAAAAACAACAATAGCACAGTACTCTTCAGATAAACATTTTGTGCTACCTTTTGTTAGTCTATCACATAAACCCCTAAACAAAAAGTAAATTAATTCAGGGCTCTGCATGCTTTGACAAAGCATTCTGCAGTATTTAGCTATTCCTGTCAGTGAGCAAAAACACATGCACTGGTTCTTACCCTTTAGCTCTTGCAAGATATTATCATATTGAATGAATGAACTTAAGTATAGTGCATCAAACAAAAACCTTTAGGATGCGAAGAGGGAGCGGTGGGAGTGGTAAGGGCATAGAGCTCGAAATCCTCAGGTTCTGAGTTCGAGCCCCACTCCCACAGACTCTGGGTCTCTGAGCAAGACCTTTAACCCCACACTGCTTCCCACACACTGCATGATGGCAGCGAACTGCTCCCCTAGGGGATTTTTTAAATGCAGAGGTAAATTTCTCCAATGTAAGATCAACAGATTTCAACTATTATTATTATTAATGCATCAGTGTAAGCAATCACTTTTAGATATCATCTATCCGAGTGTAAGACTTTTTTTTTTTTTTTTTTAGTAATAAATAGATACAACCACAGACATAGAGAGACTTTATTTCCTCAGAATGTATAAAATAGAATAGAAAATTATTGCAAAATAATAATAAAAAAAAGGGTTTATTACGCCTAAAATTAACTAAATGATACTTCATTAAAAAGAAGAAAATAAAAAAAAGCCGTCTCTACACCAAACTGTAGTGTACGTACTTTATTGTACATTCCACTTTTTCTATTGAAATGTACAATACCTAGCTGGACATTGATAACATAAAACAATGAAAGCAACAAAAACCGCTTGGTTATACTCTGTTATAAGAACTGAAGTAGTTTTCACGTTTCTTTTTTAATTCTTTGCTGTAAACTCTGAGTGAAAGTCTTACGATGACCCACTAATAACTGGTGGAGGCTCTATATAAAGACAAGAGAGCAGAGAGCGGAAAGGGTGTGTAGTAGAGCTGTGGTCAGAGGCTGTTTGCGCAGTTACCGGTGAGGGAGAGGGTGTGAGAGGTGTGATGCTGCATTCATTCCTGGATGTGGCTGGTGAAGATGGGGTGGATACATTCCCACCTGCAAATTAATTGGAAACCGAAGAAATAACAGCAATATCTGCAAGTTTTCTACGATGACAGAAACAGAATCATCACAACTTGGAAAAATAAATAATGGTTAGAAACCCATTTGGCCTGGAGTTCTTTGAAATTGGTTCTGGAGGATTGAAGTGAACAACAATGACTGGAATGTCACTGGAATCCCAAGAAAGTAAAATACCCCAGTGGGAGTGTTTAGCACTACAGACCGTGGAGAAGAAGTGAATCATTTCAACCAGGACAACTTAGAAAAAGATGTGCTTGCAGTGTCTTACCTGGTATCTGCAGATAGGTATCCAGCTGAACCTCCTCAGACATTTTTACTGGAGCCAGGTTCTGCAGAACATTTTATCAATGTTAAAACAGTGCTAAAATGAACCCGGCAATGTGGATCCAGTGGGATTTTTCTTTATAATATACTCATGAAAGCGATATTAATGTACAGAAGAGGGAAATGAATGAGATATCTTGAAAGCACTGTGGATGCTGTAAAACCGGCTTCATTTAACAACTGTCAAAAAAACCTTTGCTTCTACAGAAAAATATCAAAAAGTTGTATACGTGTTCTTTTTAATATTTCAATATCATTCATGTAATTTACTCTTAAATGCACACTGATGGTGGCAAGCTACATTGTAACTATGGAAACCCTGTGGCTCACTGAAGGCTGTGTACCGAACCCTCTGACCACCATCAGCAGACAAATGTAGGTGAACTGTTTTGCTCAAAGACACTAGGACTGAGATGGATGGAGCCTGGGTTCAAACCGCCAACACTTAAGTTGAAGGAAGAACTCTCCTGCTTCCTACACCACTGTCTCCTCCGACCAATTGGCACATTAGGGAATTGTTGCTGATTTCAATGTGTACAAAGGAGGATGGATGGATGGATGGATGGATGGATGGATGGATGGATGGATGGATGGATGATGGAAGGATGGATGGATGGATGGACAAGAGCTGGCATTTTAGAACCTATATATATTCACATATTCATTTTTATTGATTCAGATCTGAAATCATGATTTTACTTTTAAAGTTCATTTTTTTATTTTCTTCTTCAAAATTTAACTTTATGGGAACCTTGTGTGTGTCATGGTCTCTGTGGGTTCAGTTTTACGTTCTGAAAAGAAAAATACATTGTCTTCTGTGTAAATAATGAGGACCAGGGTTTGACATTGTTTTTCTTCATCCAAAAACATAAAACATCTGTCTGCCTGTATTTGAGTTTCTACCCTAAAACATTTGCATGACCCAAGTGTGCATCATGCATTTTCATTCCCCAGCTTTGGTCTTTGTCCTCCTAATAATAAAACCCAAAAAAGGATAATACTGCACATAACTTTGTGCTATACTATTCATAACAGAGCTCTAGTAGTGTGACATCTATGAAATAAATATTTTAAATACTCCTTAGTGATCTATCATATATATTATGCATAGAAACAACAGAACAAATGTTACTTTTAATGTATGACCAAGAGTGCAAAAAGGTGTTTGCTTTTTTTTTAAGTCGACTTACCCCTTCAAGTCCTCCTTGCTTTTTTTCTGTTGGTTGTTTCGTTGGACTGCAAGAAGTATTCCCAGCTTTTAAGATTCTGCAAACCGATCTGCCTCCAGAGAGAGAAAGATGGATGACAGAAGGACCGGGGATGGGAAACTGGAGCTGGATAGGATAGGATGCTTTTCTGGAAATCCCTTGTTAAAAAAGTAAGACTTCCCCAATGTTTTGCACGTAGAATTCCCAAAACTTGGTTTAAAAATGTGGAGAAAAGGAGAAAGCTACAAGAAAAAGCTTCTAATAATCTTTTGATTTGTTTTTTTTTTTTCCTCCCAGTGGGATTCTAATTTGAGTTTGCAGCTCTGGCTCTTTGCAGCCAAGCGCTCCGTCTCACTGCTTTGCAAATGAATTTGAGAGGAAAAAGTGGTGACACACACACATTAACCAGTCACAGGAGTGGGAGGGCTATGGGAGCACATAAGGGGGGGCGATACTGGGGGATTTACCTCACTGGGATACAGCAGAGCGAAAGACAGAGGGTGGAGTGATTTCGAGGCTGGCTCTGTACCCTGATTGAGTCATGTTGCCCTCTCTCTTTTCTTTTATTCCTTGTTTTATTATTATTCAGGTCTTCGTATTTCCTGCTTTAATTTTTCCATTCTTAGTCTGACCTCTCACTTTATTCACTTTTTCCACATGTTTATCTTCTCCTCTATTCTTCCTTGATGTAGCTCTCCTTGTAAGTGTGTTGGACAAAGGCTGGAAGCAGCCAGGTGTGTTTAGTCAAACTTTAGGTGAATTTAACACACCTCCATCTATTTCACTGACACCTGGACGGAATAATCTTTGATAATAGAGGGGGAGGGAAAGTCTAGATGAAATGGTTTAAAAAACTCGAAAGTACTTCGTTTAATTTGATTGCCGTATCACTGGCGGTTAGCTGATCTGCGGCAGCAGTGGCTAAGGTGTCTGAGGCAGGTAACTCTGAAGGGAGGGAACACAGGTTAGTAACCACAAAAGTCTGACAGAGGAAAAATCTGAACAGGTGAGTCACTAACCTGGTTATATAGTTCACTCTGGCATGGAGAACGAGGTCGATACCAGCCGGTCAGCTGACAGGATGCAGAGAGTTCTAGACACCAAAGCCTTGAAGAACACAGAACTGACAGGAGATAAGATCCGAACAGACTAATGAGGGCAGGATAACCCAGAGGGCGAAGTCAAGAGGCAGATCCAGGTTTAGTCCACAACAGAATCCGGAGACAGGTCAGGCAAACAGATCAGAACAGGGACAGGCAGGCTCAAAGGTCCGAATACAGAAGTGAGTCAGGATCAGGAAAAACAGAACACTATTAGAAACATTGGAAAACTCTCAACACCAAAGGCTCAGAATGATCTGGTACTGATGACTGGGACCAAGCAGTTTAAATAGAAGCAGGAGCTGGTGGATCAGATGAACAGTGATTAGAAACAGGGCAGAGTTACATAGTTAATTGAAATGAGTAATCCAGCTAGCTATCAGCGTCAAGATAATGAAAATTTCTTACTAAAAATGCACTTCTATCCCGCCGTTCAGATTAGATTTTAGATTTTCTAAGACTAAGGCCATAGAAATAATCTCTGCAAACCTTCACCAGGATCAATCTTTCTGTCTGTGTTGATCTTTTAACTCTACCCTACATCAAAGTCGATGGACATTTACCTTGTAAAGAGTTTATATCAACATTTTCCTAAAGAAAACCCATTTTATCTGTCGAACGTTGTTTTTAGCTTTTATAAAACATGCACATTTTCCCCCTCGTTGGAGATTTTCATTGTGCATATATGGTATTTTTTTTTTAGATCTGGAGGGATCCGATTTCCCCCTGCTCAAGCTGTGATTAAAAGCATACATTGTGCTATTGCACACTGTGTCACACAAAGACAGTAGAACTAACTCAGCTCCTCCATTGGTAAAGGGAAACTAGATTTCTTCACTATGTGGAAGAAAATGCCCCAGGTACACAGACACATATATATAATATACATATGTATAGATATATAAACACATACACACAAACGTCCACATACACTCTGCTTCCTCCTTCTGTCAGATTTCCAAATCGAATTAGAGTGTATCTTTGTGTCTGTGGGTCTGGAAACCATTACATGGCACCTCTCCCCCTGTTGACTGAAAAACCAAGGGGCCCCAACGCAAAACCTGCCACCACGTCTTTCACTCTCTCCTTTTCTTCTGTGTTGCTACCTCTTTTGTATTTGGAATACAGCACCATGCAAAAGAAAATGTTTTTTTCTTTTCTTTGTTTTGTTCTTAATCCTAAACCTTAAAAGCAATGCTATCTGTATTTTTGAAACTTTCAATAATTTTACCAGCATTATGTGCTCAACATTGGCATTAAAGGACCTTTGACATTCCGGACGGTGTTATCGATTTTATCTGTTTTTCCTTGACAGTAAGATGTGTTTTGTCAACAGCTCAAGTTAACCTTGCTGTGCTACATCATGAGTGAACTCAGCCAAGAGGGCTTTTAGGGCTTTAGTTAAAAAAATAGCTTCATAATTTGCTTCAATTCCCTTAATAAATGACTTAAAAATGACAAAATTTGGGAACCCCTGCTGTGAATAATCTATCAAATTAATATACATCCTTAAGATACATATCTGTAGTAGTGCACTGCACTACCTAGCAAACTGGACTCAAACTGTTAAATTAGACAACCTAAAATGATCGCAGAAAAATGTTTTGTGGGCCCCTGTTTTGGCGTCAGACTCCATATATTTTTTCAGTTTCCACCATTAAATAAATGAAGGACTGTTTATAGCAAAGTGAGGACATTTAGCTGGGCCACACTTCCTATTTTTCCAATAGTTAGGTTTAGGGCTAAGATATGAATTGCTTTGAGGTTAAGGTTAGTTATGGACTGGTAATCCTAAATTTAGAGTTATGTTAGGGGTAAGTTATAAAAGGGGTTAAAACTGACTGGAAATCAATGAAAGTCAATGTATTACCACTTCAGCTTCCTCTAATATTTATTTGCCAAACAACCAAAACAAAGGGTCTGATTGTGGAGCCCCATAGCTGCTAATTATATAGAAGTTAAAGCAAGTTGGACATCTTCTCCATAACTATCTCAGCATCGGTACCCATCCTATCAGATGGAGATGCAGACCAGGTTCTCCATCACATAAGCCATGATCCTTGGTGCATGCTCAGACGCAGGAAACTACACAGGAAGACATGGGGTCAGGTGACAGGAAGGTCCTCCCCGTGTGACATTCTCTTCATGAATTCCACATTATCTGTGGAAGTGGGACTGTGGAAGTAGTCCTCGAGCAACGGAAACACACCCAATAACATATGACACACTAAGGCGCATGGAGGGAGACAAACATAGATGCTGGAGGGCGGTTTCTTTAAATAACTCCAAAATGTCAACAATAGCCTGAATGAGGACTCCCCTCTCAAGATAGCACCACATGTCAAACCAGTACCTACAAACAAAACACAGTTACAATCCCTTTGATGGAACAGATACAACATTAATTATTACAAAATACATAACAGACAGTAATATCAAACTTCAGTCTGGATCTAAACCTATTACTTTGGTAGCTATTTCAAATTTTTAAATTCGACAAAAAGTAGAAGAGGTTTTGTAGAGAAAAGTCCTTGGAGAAAGCCTACCAGCTGCTGAATGAAACCCGAGACTGAGGAGGAGGATCATCATTCATGTGTTTGAGTCATCTAATCAATGTCCAGAGCAATATCCAAACCAGATTTATGGCAAGAATCTAAATTTATAATCACAGATATTCTCCATTAAAGTGTGTGCTGCTTTTGAGAAGAAAAAAACTAAACTTCTCTGTCCCTACATGTAGCAACATAGCTCAAATTGTTGCAGAAATAAATACAGAGAACAGTGTTACTACAAGGTATTGACCCGATGTTATGGGGGGAGAATAGAAAGCTGTGTATCCTTAATGATTATGCAGTATTTATTTTGATGTCTCACATGAAAAATTAAATATTATTCTACATCTGAAAATGAAAAAAATATTAATAATAAGGCCCCCCGAGCACATTTTAGCAGTTTGTGTAGGAAAATTCCTCTCAGATTAGGCAGATAGCCTTTACCAAAAATCTCCTTATGCTGCCAACCTCTGGATGAGCTGTTTTGTCTCTCAACGCCCCCATCCTCTGGAAGGATGCGCCCCTACTGCCCACAACCATGACGACCAGTCAGAGTAAGTAAAGAGAGACTAGAAGCACAGAATAATACATTAGATGAAGGCTGGAGCTAGAACGATGGGCTGCTAGAGCTTATTTCCCCTTATGACATCATCAGGGGAATGCATTTCAAACAGCATTTTGAGCACACATTAGCTAAGAGGCTGGGAAAGGCAATGATAGAGGGGAAAATTGTTTTCTATTTGTAAATCTCATTCACAGGCTTCAGGACACATTATTGCAAAATGTTTATAAAGAAAATATTGCATAATAGGAGACCTAGCATATTGCATATTGTGGTTCTTATCTTGACGTATTTCCCAACAGCTTTTACAGAGCAATGTAAAAGTTTCCTTGATTAGAGTAAATCACACATAAATAGTATTGTTAACAATAAGTGATTAATAAAAAAATATTCCCACAAATAGTAGGACTCATTTCTCTGTTCAGGCCTGATGTTTAATATAGTCTGAGCTTTGAAAACTTTACTGAGGCGAGTAAAGATATGAGAGCGACCATTTGTGTGTGCAACTGTATTGGACTTGTGCAGGAATTAATGAAGGTGGTATTATACATTCTGTGTGCAAACACGCCACTTCCTTTTTAGTGTGCATTTAAGAGTATGTGGCGCTTTTTCAGTGTGAGCTTATTCAGGTGGAGGTTTGAGTCCCACTGTACAGCCTCCCCTGGGGTGGGGACCCAGAGCCAAAGGAAAGATCTGGAGTGGAAGCCACACGCACACACACACACACACACACACACACACATATATTAAATATGGCTGCTCTTTGACATGGAGTCTGGACTATTGTGTAGTAAAAAAAACAACAACGTTTTAGCAAGCAAGAGAGAGGAAGAGGAAGGGAATGTATGATTTATGATTGGACTGCAAGGCTAAGGGTGAAATTTATAACAAGAGAGACTGGGGGAAATGGAGAACTGTGGGGTGTGTGTGTGTGTGTGTGTGTGTGTGTGTGTGTGTGGGGGGTTTCAGTGCAATAGTGTGCAGATGTATTCTTTCTGTGTTCATAGTGCAATTCCTTTTTTGCCACAATCATTTTTTTTAATCTAATCTTTCTATAAGAGTGCTGAATGCAACTGAATTCCAGCTGTGTCACTACATTTAGTTGCAGCTGAAGATCTATTGAGGTATTTCTTTATTAGCTAGGTGCATCTAGAGAATGAATTATTTCACATCTTTTCTCTTTTTGAAATAGCTTAAGATCCGTCAGATTGGACAGAAATTATCTGTGAATAACATATTTTAAACCCTGCCCCAGGTTCTCAGTTGGTTGTAGGTCTGGACTTTGACTGGGCTGAACTGTACTATTCTTGATGGTAATCCTGCTTGAAGGTGAACCTTTATACCAAACTGAAAACGTTTGTAGCCTTTGACCACTTTTTCTCCAGGGTTATTATGTATTTAGCTGCATCAGTTAACTTTCTAAGCATTCCTAAGCATAACATCACGATTCAAAAAAACAAAAAAAAACAACCTGAACTAGACACAATTCCACTCTAAACCATTGTCACCTAAAAAGTAGTTGAAATCCATAAATTTTAATTTTAAGAAGCAGTTTAATGTTTTTTTTTGTTTGTTTTTTTGTTTTTTTGGGGGGTAGGGGGGGGGGTGTTCTACAACAAGGGCAAAATGCATTTGATTATAAAGTCACCCCTTGATTAATTAATCATAAGTATTTATAAAAAACCCTTTCTGTACTGTTGGAAAGTAATCAATCTCATCATGGGCACAGAGAAAATAGCTCACCCAATACAGTCATGCTTAAACTGCTACTGTATTGCAGATCTCACTTTCAGTTCCTTCAAGCAAAAGTCTAAAAACTAAAAAGGACCATTTTTACAAAGAGATTACAGAATTTAAGGCAAGAAAAACAAAGATATAAAGGGAAATTTTAATGTCAAGAAGCCCTTTAGACAAGATCCTGTTGCCTAAAGGAGATAGAAAAAGGATTTTTATTATGTTTTACGTTTTCTACAAGTGCTTTTTTTAATTTCTCTGTGTGCACTGTTTACCATTCAAGCTTAGAATTTCTCCAAAATGTTGTTACGGTTTCATGTGACAATAAAGATCCCTGAAAGGTTGTTGATTCTGAAAAGAGGAAGTGGTTTCAGCAAGACAAAAAACTGCTCCCCAACTGCAGCTCCTGCAAACCTAATGTTTTGAAAATGCATCAAGTTTATTGCTCTATTGTCTAAATCCTTTAATGCACAGTGTCTTCAATAAAACCATAAAAACATCTAGATATACAAACCCAGGGTTTAGGCACAGCTCACACACATATGTATTTAATCACACATTCCAATAGCTCTTTGTAAAGGGACACATGTAACAGAAGACTAGGGATAGTAGATCTGCAGGCAGCACACACACAGAGACTTAAAATCAGACTGACACCATGGGGAACATCTGGCATTCTTGAATTTAATGTTACCATCTCCTCTAAGCATATACAGGCAGGCAAGACAGCTTCACTGGCAAAACGGGAACATAATAAAGAGATTATTTACATATGGTTGATTGGAATCTGTGTGGAGCAAGAAAACCATGGAAGAAGAATAGGTTTGTCATCCTGAAATTAGGATAGAAGTACAGTCTGATACTGTGTCATGTTTCTTTACATGTTGGCACCCGATACAGCAGGCTTTGACGGGCTTGGAGAGAACCAGTGCTTACTTACAGTCATTTCTCTCCTCTTTGATCCACACATCAAGCTACATGTTTCTATCAGCTGGTGCAGTATGCCACCCGCAATGTGTGCTACAGTCGCCCTCCTTTGTGATGTTGGAGTAATGCAACCATCTGATTTATTCCAGCTGCAAACTAGAGGCTGGCATTGAATACAGTAACACATAAAAAGCTTTATCATGAAAGAAAAAAATAATAATTGTCCCATCTTCTTCTAAATATTCAGAGTATGTTAACCCTTTATAGGGCAAGTTGGCATTTTTGATCACACTTGCATACTCCTTACAAATGGAGTCCCCTCCATCCCTCAGTGAGGTCTAGAAGCACAAGATCCATATCCAGCCATTCAGCAAAGATGCTGCTACATGGCTGTACATCTTACTTTGCATTTGACCAATTACATGAGTCCTTGAATAATAGATTACCTACTGGAAATTAAGTTGGAAAAAAAAAATTAACAAGTTAAGAAAAAAAAAGGTAAAAAGCTGATTGAAAAGTTAAAAAGTAAAGTTAAAAAGTTAATAAGCTTAATTAACAATTATATTTAGGTTTATAAACTAAAAATGTAAGTGCCAGTATCAGCATTTATGCCTCTAAGGTTATGTTGTAACAAAAAAAAAAGTGTTTCTTTCACTATCATTCATGTTTTTCTTGAAATTCTTAGAGAAGCACTTCAGTTATTTTTCTTGATATATTTGGCCAAGTTGGAATTTCTTGTTATTACATTCACATTAATTTTTTGCCATCAAAATATCCCTATTTTTGAATGTTACGCAGGTAATAAGGTCTTATCCTGGATTGCAACACAACTATTGGCTTGAAATCTTGATTTTCAAAGTATTTCACTGAGCGCCCTATAAAATGTTAAACATATTCAAGACCGAAACCTCAAGACAGCATCTTAAAATGTTATTAAGAATGTGGAAATTGAAATGCTCTGTTTTATCTGTTATAGAAATAATAATAAGGTAAGGCAAGGCAAGGCAAATTTATTTGTATAGCACAATTCAGTACAAAGACAATGCAAAGTGCTTTACATGATTAAAATATAGGAAAATAAAAACAGAATCAATGCAAGTAGGGAAATCAATAAATAAAATTAAATAAAAAATGCAGAAAAAAAAGAACATTAAAAAAAGTTGGACTAAAGAAAATAAAAAAGTTGATCTAATGATGTTTCAGTTGAACTGTTTAACTAGAATAACTATAAATGACGATTGAGCTTTCTTAAAAGCACCCATGTCTGATTGTTCACGCTTAGATTTACATCTCAGTTATGTTTAGGAGCGTTAAAATGCAGCTAAACCTGTAAAATACAAATATCAGAGCTTTTTAAAACGGCCACGTCGTCAAATACAAACTACTCTCATTACAAAAAACGGGCAAGAAGAGGAGAGAGGACAGCTTTATTTACTTTACGTGAATGGTAAAGTAAGGCGGGTCTTTATTTAGATTGGGACCAATTGCGTCACGAGGAGACTTTGATTGACGTCCGTTTCAACCAATGAGTGAAGGGTGCAACTGGACGAGCGGGCTACGACACTGTTGTTTTCCTCTCAACGGTTAGGCCGAATCTAGCGATTTTAACGTGTTTTAGCAGTATAAAACGAGCGAAAGGACACAGGATACGATAGTTAAATTAGGTCGTCAGAGTAAACTGGATACATTTCTTCACTGCGTGGGTTTTTAGACCCTGAAAGGACCGTTTTGACCTCCGTCCCTCCTCTCCTGACAGCTGTGTTTGCGGCGTGGAGTGCCGCCGTTTTACGCTTAAAGTTCAGCGGTGAGTGTTTTAAAAGTCGCATAACAAAGTCAAATGGGAAGGCTGATGGTATTTCATGTTAATAACCACACGGAGAAATAGCTGTTTTCTCAGCATTATTCTATATCTGTGTAAAAATAGTCAATCAGTGTTTAAAATTGGGTAGTAACTGACTGTAAATGTTCTTTATGGGTCAGATGACAGACAGAGGAGGGTAACAGTAACTGTTCATTTGAGCAACAGCTATTAACACTACTTAGAACAACGGAACGTTAGTTAGTAGTCACCCAACGTATCCAGACGTTTTGCTTTTAAAATAAAACAAAACTGTCTGTTTCTTTTTTTGTTTTGTTTTTTAATCTATTTATGAGAAATGCCTTTTTTCCCCCCAAAGCCACGCAAGCATTAAAGGTAGCAAAGTGCAGAGCATCGTGGTGGATGTTTGTCAAGATGATGCGTTCAGGTACCACTTATAAGCTCCGGATTTTAAAGGGAACCCCCTGGCTGAATAAATAATTATTAAAACCACTCGCTATAGTTAAAAGAAATTTAGTCAGGTTCTTTACTTTTCGGCAGAAAAAAAAAGAAAAATATTTAAAAGTTGGACAGCTAATGTATTTATCTACTGACTGTGTAAAAAGATACACCAAACACACTAAAACCTGATATTAATTATTATTTTTTTAAAGAATAAATATATCTATCCCTTTAAAACTCTGTGATAAATGAATTGAACTAGATTTATGAAGATATTTCTCTAAACTCCTCATTATAAAGATTAATTTTCTTAATTTATGGTTTTGTAAAGCGCCTCAAAATAATGAAAAAATAGAAAGCTGCTAAATCAAACACTTAAGCTTAGTGAAATACGCCTCAGGATATATTTAGACATACCTAAAATTAATGAGACTGATGCTTTTTTTTATGGCTCTACGTAACATAAAAATGAAATAATTCATGGTGTAGTTGCAGGGACAGCTGGAAATGCTATGGAGAAAATATGGTTGAATAATGCTTTTCTAAAACATCATTCAGTCATTTTATGACTCTGCAAATGAGTTTGAGTTAAAAGACAATTTGCTGACTTTATCAACTTGTTGATTCTGACAGAAAAGGAAACAAGACCCAAAGAGAAAAGCTGACAGAGAAAAAAAAAAGTTAAAATCTTAAAATTTTAAAATTTATTTTATTTTTCACAGGAAGACAAGGATTAGTCAACCTACACAGAACAGTGCTTTAACAACAGAAACATTCTTAAAAGATCATTTTGATCTTGGTCATTTTTATCCCCCTCATCTCACAACCTTTTTTTTCTTTGTAAAATGTCTAAAAGTATTTATTTTTTATTTATTGATATTTTTTGCCCATATTGGCAGTGAATGTTATCTGCTTTCTCAAACTCAAATTCAAAACACTTCAGTGCCAATGCAGATTAGAGATTTAATCCTTCAGTATTGGTTTGTTTGAGGCATTTTGCCCTGATGTTTTTAAGGCTCCGTCCTCAGGGAGGCGAGCTTAGGTATATCCACTATATATTTTGCCATTTCGAAATAACGTTGACTCAGACCCTGTGTTTAGGCATGAGCCAATACATTTTTGAAACCAAGTGGATAGATTCCAGAAGTCGTTCCCATATTTTCATTATTTATCCATAATGAATAAATAAATCTCATCTTTTGTAAAACAATATCATAACGGCCAAAAATGAGGCCAGGCACACATACCATAACATATTCAGTGGCGCTATATGCACTCATGTGGACCAATATTTAGTTTAAAATTGCTTCTAGAAGAACACAACTTTTGTCTCTGTGTGGACAAGAACTAAACCAGTTTTCTTTTACAACCTCCCTTTAACTTGTCCTTTTAGCAACCTTTTGAACACATGTGGCGCTACGCTGCCATCTGGTTTTCAGTTCTTTCTGCTGCCTTATTTTCCCTTTGCTAATCTGGCAGCTGGAGCAGCTCATTGAAGCCCGGTAGCTCTCTGTTTAGCTGCACAATCATTTACAACCCACAGTTTTTTCTCATTATTCTGACCACTTTGGTCTATCTCTTTAGGTATGTTTTAGCAAAGCAGACAGTTCAACTAACATAAGATACTAGGGCTGAGGGATGTGCAGGTGGCGCAATGGTTAGTGCGCATGAACCATGTACTTGACATGGCTGACCCAGGTTCAAATCCGACCTGTCAGCTTTCCTGTCAACCTACTGTCAGAATAGCTGCTAGTGCTGTAAAAATGCAAAAAGATACTAAGGTTGAAACAATTAATTGGATTAATCATGATTAATTGATTATTGAAATAAACATCAACTAATTTAGGAATTGAATTATGGTTAACTGGAGTGTAGAGAATGTAAAATATTATTTTAGCTGTAATTTACACAAATAAATATATCAAATAAAAAAAATCTATATAAACATTTTGTCTTTAATATAAAAACATTATTTTTTTTTTGCCTGTCAATATGCTATATCCAATATAGTAATAACGAAATGTTTATTTTTGGTCCCAGATACTCAGTAGCACAATGGAGTAATATTTTATGTTTTATAAGTGATGAATTGCT